ATATCTATGTATGCTTATAAATATACATTATGTGTATGTGTGTAAGTGTATGAGAGATTCCAAAATAGAACAGGTAAAGCCATTTCCACAACCCTTATAGCCCAACTGAGTACACCTTCCTGATTCATAAGAGTCCATTCTCCTGTCTCTCAGCGGCAAATCATCTTCTACAAACTTGCCAGTCATGGAGACCAATCAGGAGTTTCTGTATAATTTCAGCAAATCACATGTCTCTCAGCAAGAGGCCAGAGCCCATGTACAGAAAGTTCTCCTTACCATCCTTACTACATATATGTGTGTATACATGTGTACATATACATTGTATGTATGTACATACATGTATATTCAAAAATAATTCATTAAAATGTATATTATGTGTCAGGAACCATGATAACACTAGGGATAAAAAGACAAAAATAAATAAATCCCAGCCTGCCAAGGCTTGTTGATGAAAATCACTATGTATATGAATATAGAAAATTAAATACAACATAAATTCAAAGTAATTTCCAGGGATAAGGCACTAATCACTTGAGGGGAGAAGAGTGGAAAAAAGGAAAGGCTTTCTGTAGGAAGTAGCAGTTGAGCTGAGCTTTGATACATAAATTTAAAATCTGCAAAATTCTTTATATATAACATCTCATCTGAGCCTCACCAACAGATCCAGATTTTAAAAAATTAAATCACAGAATCATAGAATGTTAAAATGTGAGAGCTAGACAGGTTCCTAGAGGTCATCTAGTCATCATTTTACAGACTGGGAAACTGAAACCCAGAGCAGAGGAACAATGTGTCCAAAGTCGTACAGCTAGTTAGAAGGTGAAACTACTAGAACCCAGTTTTCCTATGTTTAATTCCAAGTGTTCTTTCCACTGCAACTACAAGTTTTCAAGAATGTTCTCTTTTCCATTTCAATCCTCTTTTTCTTTCTACAGTGAACTTCCATCCCAAGTTCTGGCCTAAGAATTATGTCCTTGTTTCGCTGGTATTTGCCAAAAATACTATTCAAATCACTAGGATGGGATATAAATAGGACTAATTCTATAAGGTACTTGACCAAAGTTTCTCACTCTCATTTACTCTGGTCAATTATTTAATTTCTTTAATATTTATTAAATATACTTCCCTTTTCTCTTGTCCTCTGCTCCCAAAAACAGCTGACTACAGACAGTTCATCATCATACCAGCTATGTTCACATTTTGTCAATTTCTTAGAGGAATATTTTCTGCCTTAAAAATTTTTTCCAGTTAGCTATTAAATTTGATCTCTTTTTTCATAGCAGATCTTTCAACTCTCAGTTCATTCTCATTAAACTTCTCCCCACTCCTTCTGAATGCCTTGTGAGATTAAAAATATCGATCTCCTGAAAATGCATCCAAAGAGCCTTTCAGAAGTCAGTCTAATACCAACATTGTAATTTATGCAGCCACGACAAGCAATATCTAATATGTACTAATTGCTTTTCCCAAGGGCTTCTTCATTAACACCAAGAAGACTCTTTTCACCTCATTGAAACCTGAAATATTCCATGTTCAAATTCTGTACATTTTGTTGTTTTTTGCATGGGGTAGAGAAGAATACTAGATTGCTAGAGTGCCAACACCAAGTTTTACTCTTCCCTGATTGACCTGAGCTTCCTAGCAACATTTAGACTTCTCTACCTGATATACCTCATATTTAAGGCACTCCACATGTGGCACTACTCTACCTTTCCAGTGTTATTTCATATTACTCTCCCCCACCACCACATACAATCTATGGTCCAGTGAATTTGAATTACTCTCTACCTCTAAATAAGACCAATTTCCCACCAACATGACTGTTCACATAGTCCCCTACGCCTGGACTGCCTTCCTTCTCTTTGCCCACTGGATTTCTATCCATCCTTTAGAGGCCAACTCAAATGGCACCTCCTCCACAAAAGTATTCTCTGATACTCCCATCAGTAACAACATTCCTTTTCAGAATTTGTATAATACACATTTTTTTCAACTCTCATGCTTTTAACATAAATATTAATGTTATCCTTAATCTTATCTTATTCTTCTACTAGATTGGGCTCTGTGAGAGGAGGAATCATGTTTCATCTAAATTTTGTACCTCCTCTAGCACTTAGTACAGGGCCTTGCCCTAGAGTAAGTACTTAATAAATATTTGTTGCATTATATCATTAGTGGTTCTCTTCCCTGATTTTTCTTATTTATTCATTTATTATTCTGAACTTCAGAAGTAAAAACAAGCATTTCCATAACATAGTAGGATAGAAAAAATGATTGCACATGAAACTACAAATCTATTATGTATAACATGCTATTCCTTTTAAATGTATAACGAAGTTATGATGTAACTTTCTTTTTTCTTTTTGTCCCTTTTTTTCTTCCTTGCCCCTCTCCACCTTAGAGATGGCTCCCATTAGACACAAATGTATATGTGTGTGTAAACACACATGTAAAAACATTACATACATACTTCTATTTATCAGTTCTTTTTCTGGAAGCAGATAATATCTTCCTTCACTGGTTTTTCATAACACTACCTTCTCCTGGTTAGCGCATTCCTCAACTTCAGCTAGATCATCCTCCATAAGCTGTCTCCTGTACGTAAACATAACCCAGAGCCCTATCCTAGGCCCTCTTCCCTTTTCTTTCTATACTCTCTTTCTATACTTTCTTTCTAAACTTTTATGGCCCTCATTAGCTCCTGGGGGTTCAAGTATTTCTCTATACAGTTGACTCCCAGATCTACAAATCCAACCTTCAAATCTCTCCTGAATTCCAGGCCCATACGAACAACTGCTTGCTAGACATCTCCATTTAGATGGCTCATACATATCTCAAATTCCACATGTCCAAAAAATCCTCAGGATCATTAGCCCTAAACAGCAATGTGGGATAATGGATAAAATGCTGAACTTGTATTTAAAAAGACCTAAGTTCAAATCCTGCATCAGACACCTGATAGCTATGCAACCTGAAGTAAAACATTTAACTTCTCTCAACTCCAATCTCCTCATTTGTAAAATGGGGATGATAACACCGACCTCACAGGATTGTTATAAAAATCAAATGAGATAACATATGTAAAATGCTTTGCATATGTTAAAGTATTATATAAATGTGAGTTATCATCATTACCATCAAATTTATGCCTTCTCCTGACTTCCTTATGCAGTGTATACAGCTTCAGAGTTATCCTTAACCTGTCATACTCCCCCACTGTATACAATCAATTCCCAAATCTTTTCCATTTTATCTCCAGGACACCTCTCCCTCATCTATCCCCTTTTCTCTATTCATTTCCCTTAGTTATCACTCTAGTTCACCTCTCATCTGGACTATTACAATGGCCCAGTCCCCCTGCTTCCAGGCTCTTCTCTCTCTAAACCATTTTCCACACAGCTGCCAAGTCAATATTTGTAAAGATTAAGTCTATGTCACTGACTTGTTGAAGAAGCTTCAGTGGATTTCTATTGCCTCTAGGATAAGTTATAAATTTCTATTTTCTCATGTAAAGCCCTTTACAATCTGGATACATACTCCTTATTCCAGGCTGATTTCATACTACTTCTCATCATACATTTGACATGGCAGTCCAACTGGCTAACTTGCCCCTCTCTCTATGTGACATTCCATCTCCCACCTCCAAGTCTTTACTTGGGCAATCCCTCATGCCTATAAGGTCTATAAATCTATCTCTTTCATCTGAGCACAGGTTTTTCACTAAGCAACTATTAATGGTTGCCTCAGGACAGGAAAATGTGGGAGTTTATGTTCACCCATAGCTTTCTGACTATAGGTCAGAGACTATACTTCTTTGTTAGCTGAAGAAGACAATAGTAACTGGGACATAAATAGCTGGGGCCCTTTCGTTGAAAAACAATCCAGAGTTATCTGTGTCCTCTAAACAAGGTACCAAGTTGAATTTCCAACCTATCCAGGGGAGATGCCTCCCAACAAAGTCTCCTGCTATAAGCTCAACACATTGATCAGGAAGACTTACATGATTGACCTAGGTCAAAGAATTGAAACCTAGGTTTGAACCTAGGTTCTCTGACTCCAAATTCAGAGATCTTAGTGACTGCTGGTATTATTGTATTCACCAAGAAACATATTACTATTTGACAAAGTCATCAAATAGTAACATCAAATGGTTATTAATTTTAAATAAATGTCAAGGAAGCCCCATTCATATAGATACATAAAATCATCATCATTATTACTTAACATTTACATTGCACTTTACAATGGCCCCATGTTGCAGTAGATAGATAGCCAACCTTAGAGTCAAGAAATTTGAGGTTCAAGACCTGCTTGTGATGTATAATAGCAAGGAGACAAGTCACTTCACCTCTCAGCATCTCAAGTAACTTTCAACAATTACTTGGGTAGAGTTAGAAGAAACTTCCACACAACGAGCTCCTGAAATTGATCAAGGAGCTCACCAAATGTATCAGGGATGCCCTTGATCATCTTCCCTTATATGTACTACCTGTGTGACCTTAGACAAGTAATTTAATCTCTCTGGGCCTCACTTGTTGAACACGTTGTCCTCTGAAGGCATAAATCTATAATCATAAGAAATATGAAAGTCAATCCCTTCAAAATAACTACATTTGGGCGCTCCCAAATTTTGGAACACATTCAATCTGATTCAATTCTACACAATTCATTTTAAAAACACCTAATATTTATAAAGCACAGTGTCAGATAGTGCTTTGTATCAGAAATCCCAACACCGACAGAATCACAGAGATAGACTCTCCCCACTACCCCCAAAATAGCATTTTTCAGTTTATAAAGTACTTTCATATATATTACTTGATTTAACCCTCCCATCAGTCCTATGATTCAGGAAAGAGATCATTATGTCCATATTACTTAGGAGACAAAGTGACTTACCCAAGATTCTACAGCTTATAAATAGCAAAGATGTCTAGATGACGTATCTGTATCATATACAGTTACCTACTCACCCGGATATCTATTTTCTGCACTTTCAGAACCTCTCATTAAGGTAAACCATGTCAAATCCAAGTACATGGAAGATGCTTCCAGTTTTGACAATACAGAAAGAACAACAAAGGTATCCAGAGTGTCAACCATCAGAAGGATATTTGATTTGGCAAAGCACCGGTCCAGAAGATCTGTATCTTTTCCAACAGGGATTAAAATCTGTCCACAGGAGTCAATGAAACAAATTTTGGCCAATCTCCAGGCTTATTACAGACTAAGAGGTAAGAACACAAATGATCCATGCAAAGTCTCTACTGGCTTTCCATTCTCTTCGGTTAAACTCAATTGTGAGTTTCAGCCATCTTTAATCTCAGTTTAAGGCTTTGGAATTGTATTCTTTACTCTACATCCTTTGTTCTTTGATCTTTACAAAGCATCCGGGTACCTGAGCAGTAAGTAAAACCAGGTACTATTATTCAATTCAAAAACCAGATCAAATTTCATAGCAACCTTTTTTTTTTTTAATGGCAGCTAGGTCATGTAGTAGATAGAGAGTTGGTCTGGGAGTTGGGGAGATCTTAGTTCAAATATTGCCTCAGATATTTACCAGCTGTGTAATCCTGGACAAATCATTTAACCGCTCCGTGCATCAGTTTCCTCATTTGTAAAATGGGAATAATAATAGCATTTGACTTCCAAGGTTGTTGTGAGGACAAAATGAGGTAATAGTTGTAAATCACTTTGCAAACCTTAAAGCACTATATAAATGCTAATTATCATCATTATTATTAATTACAATAATAAAAACTAAATTTACTTGTTTTACTCTATTACAAGAGTTCTCTTACAAAGTGGAGATAATCTGCAAATATAAAATCAAAACACATCAATTAAACTTTAAATAAAACAATTATAAAGATAGAAAGGGCTGTTTTCTATTTATTTTAAAATAACAGCTTCTGCTGCAAAAAACCATCAGGTCACTTAACAAACAATGACAATTGCCTTGCCATTTGTAGATTCCTTTTAATTTTATTATTATTTAAGCAAAAAGTGGGATTTTTCATGTTGTTCTCATAAAATAAGAAGCAAAAAATGTTTGCAGGACTGAGGGACTAAGCAGGCTGATTTATAACTAGACATGTCAGTTTCAAAAAAAAAAAAAAAAAAGCAACATTATCATGCAAGTTTGGTGGAATATACATGTGGCAGATCCAGCAAAAACCACTGAATTTTGGAGACCTGGAGGAACATCTGTGAGCACAGAGGTGTCCCAAATTAGGAGTGGTGAGCAGGTAATGATGCAGAGGTGTTAACAGAATTTACTAGACAATTACCATTGTTTCCAGGGGAGTTGTAGGACAGTTATTGCCTGCAAGAGGTGTACAACAAGGACCAATGTCGTATGATGCACCAAGAAATAATTATGAAATTAAATCACACTGCTATGAGTGCCTTGGGTGATTTCCAATAAGGCAAAGGTGTCTCATTTTGCCTGGGCTCCGAACCTGTATCATCTTTCAAGTTGAAGGTAAAATGGCTCTCCAATTTCATTCTCAGACATTTACTCCCATCATAAAATGGACACTGTCATCCTGCTTTATTTTAAGTCCATGATTTTGAAACATCTGCTGTAAGCACATCAGCATATGGTAGAGGATGTTGATTGAGATGCAGTTGTAAACCAAGGCAGAGCAATTTCAGAGTACTTGCCCCTTGCCATGTTTCAGAGCATCTGATTCTATGGTACTATCAAGAAGTGAATTAATTTAGGGGATTCATGTTGGGTTTTAGAGACACAATTAATTAGCAAAGTCTCATAAAAAAATTGAAAGCCTTGCAGCACTCACATGTTTCATTTCATTGAGAGATGAATATTTCATACGTTTACTCTCCTAATGGGAAAAAACTCCAACTCTAAGCACTTAAACATGCCAAGTTTCTGGACCCAATTTAGAAGGACCCTGGCAATTAAGAATAAAATGAGTGATACTAGTTAGGGCCATGAACTCTGGACCCCTTGTTTTCACAAATATGCTTGTAGCTGATAATAATTCAAGGGAATTTCCACATACATATGTCTGAATCATTCAAGGCACTCTGTTGTGAACCTTCTATGCACTTATACATCTTGTAATACTTAAAAATCACTTATTGGTCACCTGCTATGAACAAGACATTGTGCTAAATGCTGGGAAGGCAAATACCAAAGAAAGAGAAAAAAGGAAAAAACTAGTCCTTGCCCTCTGGGAACTTAAATTCTAATGATTTATGATAATAATCTACTTATCATCCCTTCTACTAAATTATGAGCTCCTTCAAGGCAGAAGCTAGGTCATTTTTCACCTTTGTATCCCGGAGCCTTGCATGGTCCCTTGCACAAAATAGGTACTTAATAAATGTCTATTGATTTCTTTTGGTCCAGAATTATGACTCTATCAGTGTAGCGAACTTCTGGTGTAGAAACTCCATCAGCCATTACAGATCAGCCATTCTTCTGTAACCTTTAGATCTAAAGAGGTACCTGTGGCCTACAGCCAGTATATATTTGAGGCAGGACTTGAACCCAGGCTAACTCCAAGCTTGGCACAGTCTTCTATGGCACACTGCCTATCTTGCTAAAGTTCAACTGAACTGGAATTAATTAGCTTTGGGCATTCTAGCTAGCCTGGGTAATGACACTCAGTCAATTCCATATTATTTTTATAAAGACATAAAGTTATATAAGCTCATGGGATCATAGTTTTAGAGCTGAAAATGACCTCATAGGTCATCTGGTCCAACTCTTCTTTCAACAGAGGAAACTGAAGGCCAGAAAGATTGTGACTCACCCAAGATTACACAGGAAGTGAATGCTGTATGTACTCACATCAGTATAAATAAACATAAAACCATCAACCAACGTTTTCAGGTGCTATGGTCTTATTTATGATAAGCACAATGGCAAACTGAAGCAGCCCTTGTTAGGTGCTTAAGGGGAAAGCCATTACTTGCAGCTACTGAATTTCTGCTACATAAAGTTTTCATTCTCATCTTACCCTTGATTAAGTTCACATCTTTCACTCTCTCATTTCCCTGGGTAAAACAAACCACAGCGGAAATATTTTCCACAGCAATGATAACCTATTATGGCTGCCCCAGGATGGAATAAGATTTGATAATCAGTATGGAGTTTCTTTGCATCTTAACAAATTTGCTCACCAAGAAATACTCCAATTACAAATATGTTTCTTTGACAGTCATTCAGTGGTTGTTCTCAGTTCTCCTCACACTATGATCTGTGCAAGTTTAAGAATCATGTCAAGAATCATGCAACTGAGTCTGAGTTTACATTGTTTGGGCTTGGGGGAAACACATTGACAGCCTTCAAAACTGAAGGGGACATGAAGATGACTTTTAGTTACATAGTATACAATACTTTCTAACATTTTCTAATACACATTGTAATGTCTAAATATTATTGCTAGAGCCAGGTTTAGAGCCAGCAGTAGGCAAAATTGCAAAGAAGGCAAAGCTCGTTTTTGACACCTTCCCATTCTGTGCCTTTTTTCCCCTATGTGATGCCCCCTCCCCCTCCCATAGGGCTAGTGCATCTAAGCTCAATCTTCTTCCTGCTACCTCACTCACTTTTGGCTCTTTGTTGGATCTGTAATTTCAACCATGCGAGCATGCCCTCAACCTGAGCAGTCTGCAATATACAACTCATTTCATGTGATATTTATCTATGTTTTTCCACTGATCTTCTTTAAAGGATAAACCCAACACGTCTACCTACAAAGCCTCTGGTTCTCCTCTCATGGAAAGTTAATCTGCTCAGCTTTGTGATGCCACCCTGCTTCTGAGTTGTAAGTGGGTGAGAGTTTGCAAACTCTCCAAACCCACTGATGTAGCAATCCTCAGACTAGATTTCATATCCCATTCAGCCATACAGACAACTAGCCACCTACCAGAATCGAAGCATCTTGACATTGGATGATACTCCTGTGCCCCTTCAATCACCCACTGACCATCTCTCACTCTAAGAACAATAATCAATGGAACATTACCATAGCTACTAGAAAGTGTGCATCAATCAACTGCCCTATGGCTCCATATACCATCCCTGTAATTCCTCAAATCAAATCTCCCTTCCACGACCACCATTGCCCATATACATTGACTCACTATCCTCTCCACCACAATGACTTTTCCAGACCTTCCAAATCTTCCTCAAACCTCTGATGACTCCCTTTCCCTCTACCCTCCCAGCTGAGAACCTTGCTTCAAATTGCACTAAAAAAACATTAAGGCCATTCACAGAAAGCTCACTTTTCTCCCCTTTCCCTCATCACAATATTGAGGTGCCTTCTACGATTATCTTCTCCTTTACATCTTTCTCATATAAAAAGATGACTCTTCTCCCAGCCAAGGTAAACCCCTTGACATGTATAAATGATCCCATTTCATCCCAGTTTGTTCAACAGATTGATGCCTCTATCATCCTCACTGTCATTAGTCTTCAGTCTCTCTCTGTCTGCTGGCTTCTTCCTTGACACCTACAAATACACTTATGGCTTCCCATCCCCTCAAAAAATCCTCGCTTGATCTATCAATTCCCACTATTGTCCTATGTCTCTTTTCCCTTTCATCATTAAAATGTTTGAGAAGGCCCTCTACAATGTCTCCATTTCATTTCTTCTCACTCTCTAAACTCTCTGCAGTCTGACTTCCAACCTCATCATGAAACTGAAACTGCTTTCTCCAAAGTTACCAATAAACTCTTAATTCACAAATCTAATGATCTTTGCTCAGTCCTCATCTTTCTTGAACACTCCATAGCCTTTGACACTCTGAATAATCCTATTTCTTCTCTCTAGGTTTTTTGTGACACTTCTTTCTCCTGGTTCTCCTCCTACTTCTCTGACCATTCCTCAGTTTTCTTTGATAGATCTTCATCCAGGTTATTTCCCCTAAATATGACTGTTCCCCAAGGTATTGTCTTTGAATGTCTTTTCACTTTATATTATTTTACTTGCCAATAACAGCTCCCATGGCCTCTCTACTTACCAGTCCTAACCTCTCTCTTAACCACCAATCACACCTCCAGCTGACTGTTGGATATCTCAAACTAAATTTCCCATAGCTATCTTAAATCCAACATATTCAAAACTGAGTTCATTATCTCTTCCCCAAAACCCATCCTTCTTTCTGACTTCTTTTTTCTGTCAATGTACCACCATCCCACCAGTCACCCAGGTTTACAACCTAGGTATCATCTTTGACTCCTAATTTTCTCTCATCTCCCACATCTAGTCAATTGGCAAGTTCTATAAATTCTACCTTTGTAACATTCCTCCTACATGCCTCCTTTTCCTCTAATGTTGTCAGGTTCTTATCACTCCATGTCTGCACTATCATAGTAGCTTTCTGGTTGGTCTCCCTTACCCAAGTCTTTCCCCACTTCAGTCCATCCTCCATTCAGCTGTCAAACTGATCTTTCTGATCATATAACTCTGTTATTCAATAAATTCCAGTTGTTCCCTATTACCTCCGGGATCAAATATGAAATTCTCTGTTTAGCTTTTAAAGCCTTTCATAACCTAGGCCCTTCCTATCTTTTCAGTCTTCTTCTGACTTACTCCTCTCCATATATTTGGTGATCCAGTGATCACTCTTGCCCAAATCAGTGAATTTTTCCCTGGCTATCCCCCTTGCCTGTAATTTTTTCCTTCTTCCTCTTCACCTTATAGTTTCTTTGGCTTCAGCTCAATTACCACCTTTTGCAAGAAGACTTTCCTGATCCTCCTTAATGATAGTTCATGTCCTTTGTTGATTATCTCCAACTTAGCCCGGGGTAGCTGGTGGTTCAGTAGAGAAAGCTATGGACCTAGAATCAGGAAGACTTGAGTTCAGATCTAGCCTCAGATACCTACTGCTGTGTGACTGTGGTGAGTCACTTAACCTCTGTTGCCTCGGTTTCATCAAATGTAAAATGGAAATAATAATAACACCGACCTCAAAGGGTTATGAAGATCGAATGAGATAGTATATGTAAGAATGCTTAGCTCAGTGCCTGGCACATAGCTGGTACTATATAAAAGCTATTCTCTTCATTCCCCCTTATATATCTCATTTACATTTAGTTGTTTGCATATTGGCTATGCCATTAGACTCTGAGTTTCCTTGAGAGTAGAGGGTGGTTTTTCCCTTTCTGGGTATCCCCAGAGCTTAGTACAGTGCCTAGCACGTAGAAGGTGCTTAACAAATGTTTAGTGATTTCACTTGTCTTGGCTATATGTGTTGACTCTGGTTATTAGAAATGTAAGGTCCTTGAGGGCAAGGACTATACTACATATACTATACTAAAGTAATGTATACTATGTACAGTACTAAATGCTATTTTCTTAATGTTTTTTCATTCAGTAGCTGCCATTCACATGGAGAGTCTCCCTTTTTTAAATGTTGCAGAGGTTACAATGTCCTACTCAGCTTATAGGTTGATGGATAGTTTTTAGACTTGGAAAGGAATTTAGAAGCCATCTAGTCTAAACCCATCATTTTAATAAGAAGCAACATTTATATGCCCAAATTCACAACAGGTTGGAAGTAGCAGAACAAGAATTTGAGTCAAGATTATCTGACTCTAAATACAGGGTTCTTCCCATCTTCCCAACGTTGTTTCCAGTTTAACTGAGATCAAAGTTCTAAATTTAATGAGGTGGCGCTTTTGTAAGGGAATTTCCATATTAACTATTCAATGGCATTGTGGTATAATAAGAATAGCTCTTGGATTTGGAGTTAGAAACCAAGGCTTCATTACTGCCACTGCCACTTACTAGCTGTATGACCTTAGACGATTTGCTTAACTTCTTTGGCCTCAGTTTCTTCATCTGTAAAAATGAAGGGGGTTAGATTTGATGAGTTTTGAAGATCCCTTAAATCTCTAACCTTATGCTTCTTTGAAGCAAAGATAACTTAGAGGGATGGGACATCCCTAGTCTTTTGAAACCATGCCCAGTAGGTAAAAGTAGGTGGTCTTGGTTAAAATAGTTAAAATATTGGAAAGAGCTTTTAGTTTTAGGAACTCAGAGTGTCTAGGGTTCTGTTGATAGAAGGCCATCTCATAAAGAAACAGTCATAGTAGGGAGTAGGTATATGAGCAAAATGAATGTAGTAATAAGATATCTGTATTCTGCTCCTATTAACATGTATGCTTTTTACCAGGGCTATCCTTAAGAGTCATCAAAGTAAACTATATAGCTTGAATTCAGAGTTGCTTCAAATGCCCCTTCCTCCTCTACCACCACACCCCCAAAAGCTTCCCCAATATACCCAACAAAACATGAGTTCCAGAATAGCAGCTTCATTCCTTTAGCCTGAGACTGTTAAGAAAGACACCCCACAGCAACACAAAAACTGTGTCCAGTTAATAGAATCATTGTTTTATGGAAGGGGATATAGAGATTGTCTAGCCAATTCCCCCGTTTTACAAATGAGGCCTAGAAAGGTTATGTGACTTGCCCAACATCACACAGTGATATTTTTCTGTGCATATGCTTCAGATCTTTTGTTAAAAGAAGCAGTACCCAATGCAGGAATTTTGTAATAACTAGATCCCAGGAATATGGGGCAGCTAGGTGGTCCAGTGGATAGAACACTGGGTCCAGAGTCAGGAAGACCTGATTTCAAATCTGGCGTCAGATACTGGGCAAGTCATTTAACCCTATTTGCCTCAGTTTCTTCATCTATCTTTAAAATGAGCTGGAGAAGGCAATGGCAAACCACTCCAAAATCTTTGCCAAGAAAACCCCCAAAGGGGTCACAAAGAGTTAGACGTGACTTAAAAATGACTTGATATCAACAAAAGACCCCAGGAATAGCGGTGGGGCACATAAAATATAAAGAACTTTTGGGAGGGTCTCCACCTGGAGCTGAGGCACCTCAAAATGCCCAGGCACAAGGGCCCTGAGCTATGAGGATTGAAGGAAGAGTGTCACTGAGGAAGAAAAAAGACAGAAGTGCAGGCAACAAAGACAACAATCACCCACTTTCCTACCTTGATCAGGGCCTGGTTACTGACTTGGGTACTTTCTGCCTGATCCTTTAGGAGGGGTGGTTCCTCCAAGACAATGCAAATTCCCAGAATAATAGATCTACAGGTAGAAGCAACCTCTGAAGTCATCTAATCTCGAGATATCAAACACAAGATTCCTGAGTGACACCAAACCATATACAAATGTAACTGGGAAATATTTAACAAAGTAAATAGAAATACAATAGAATATAGACAGTTAATATGTGGGTTTTTTAAGTCAATGGGAAGCCTGTAGGATCCTTATGCGTGGATTAATGGCCCTTATTCCTAGCTGAATTTGACATTTCTGACCCAATCCAAACCTTTCATTTTATAGATGAGGAAACTGAAACCAGGTCAGTTAAGTGACTTGTCCAAAGTCATACAAGTAGTGATCAGAGTTGTGATTTAAAACTAGGCCCCCTAGACCTAAAGCCAGTGTTTTTTCCTCTGTACCACAATACCTAGAAAGCGAATATCGACAAACTAGAACAATTTTAGGAATCAACACACTCCTGAGAATAAAAGAATACTATGTAACAATATGTGATACAATGGAAAGAACATCAGTTTTGGAGTAAAAGGACCTGAATTCAAATCCTGACTGCCATTTGTCTACTCTATAACCTTAGAGAAAGCATTTATCTTCTCTGGGAACCAGTTTTTTCATCTGTAAAAAGAAGAGGTTGGACTTCAGGGCTTCTTAGACTTTTTCCATTCCTGACCCCTTCAGCACTTCTTAAACTGTGGGTCACAAGAAGGACTGCATGACTTCTAAAGCCCTTTCCAGCTCTAATCTATAAAATCATACTATTTTATGAAACTTTAGTGTGGGCGGGTGTTGGGGATTAATTTGGAAGAAGGAGAATTTTCACTCATCCTGGGCCAAGTTTCCATACTTAACCACCCTCCTTTATAGTCTGTCAGGAAGCTGTGTGGGAAGCCTATCGAATCTTCCTGGACCGTATCCCTGACACGAGTGAGTACCAGAATTGGGTCAGTGCCTGCCAGAAGGAGACTTACTGCATTTTTGACATTGGAGAAACCTTCATCAATTCTCAGGAGCTCCAGGAACTTCTCCAGCAGGTGAGAAGAGAAATAGCCCTCTCTTTTTCAAGCCTGAGAATTTCTTCCCAGATCCTCCCCTGTCCTTACCTCTTTTAAGATACCTTACCTGGCTAAACAACAAGAACAGGACAGGCTTGGTGAGAAACAACATAGGTCTTTGTTCTGAGCAGAATAATGGGCTTGGAGGTGGGGCCCTAGAGGGTAATAGCAAAAATGGGCCACAGAGACAGAAAATGACTTCTACTGTTGGATTGACCTTACCTCCTAGTTAAATGACTTCTTTTATTTTTTTTTCAGCGATTAAAGCATCATTTCCCTGAGAGGTGAGTAGCCCAAATGATAACTCACTTATATAGTATCATAGAGTTTAAAGCTAGAAAGGACCCTGGAGATCATCACGGCCAGAGATGCTCAACCCTATTTGTGTCATGTATCCCTTTGGCTATCTGATGAAGTTTGTGGCCCTTCTTGAGACAATGCTTTTAAATGACTGAAGGAAAAACTAAGTTTCACTTAGAGGTTTAGTAAAAATAAAGGTCTAATTTTTTTCCCATCAAAGTTCATAGACCCCTGGAAATCTATGGACTTCAGATTAAGAACCCTTGAGTATTTAACCTAATGCCCTCATTTTACAAATGAGAAAAAGTGATGCCCAGAGAGGCAAAGTAAGTATGAACCAGGATTCAAACCCAGGTCAACTGATTTTAGAATCAAAGATTTAGAGCTGGAAGGCATCTTAGAGGTCCTTAAGTCTACTTCCCTTATTTTACATAAGAATAAATTTGAGGCCCCAAAAGACTGATTTTGCCTAGGGTCACACAACTAACAAGGTTTTGAGGTAGGATTTGATGGGAGGTCTCCCTAACTCTAAACCCAGGGTCCTATCTGTTCTGCCACGCTAACTTTCTACAATCTACAAGTAAAACATTCTCTCCACTATGACACAATGACCTTCATATGGGTGCCCTTGATGAAGGATTATAGATTTTGAGCTGGGAGGGATCTTAGGAGTCATCTCTTCCAACCCCCTCATTTTACAAATGAGAACCCTGAGAACCAAAGAGATTAAGTGATTCATCCAAAGTGGTACAGTAATAAAAGACTAAGTGGTAGGGGTGAGATTCAAATTCAAGTCCTCAGACTCCAAATCCAGGGGGCTATTGTTATTTTTTTTCAATTATACCACACCATCTTCTGAGAAAGATGTTAAAATGATATAAAACTGAGCTATTTATATATTTATAAGATTTTATTGTTGTATAGTCCTTTTAGCCGTGTTCAACTGTTCATGACCCCATTTATGGTTTTCTTGACAAAGATACTGGAGTAGTTTGCCATTCCCTTCTCCAATTTATTTTACAGATGAGAAAACTGAGGCAAACAGGGTTAAGTGACTTGGCCAAGGTCATATAGATAGATACAATTCTCAGTCAATAATAAATAATGTGAAATGAAGTGGGATATTAATTTTCAATTTCACAGTTTCAAGGAGAAGTTCTGTGTCATTAATATCACTATTCAATTTCCCAAATGCAACCCAGATAACTTTCTTCAACCAATTCAATTCTGAACCTACTTCATTATCTATCTGGAGTGTCTTTTTGAGATATATTTACTGATGAATCCATATATCAATTCAATTGTATATAATAGTCTAGATAATAACAAAGTTCTTCATCCACTTGGTTTTTCTTGTGTGAATAGTTAAACTTCACTCTTTTGAGGGTTTATGAATCCCAGTTCTAAGATTCAGGGGCAGCTAGGTGGCTCAGTGAATAGAGCACCAGCCCTGGAGTCAGGAGGACCTGACTTCAAATCTGACCTCAAAATACTTGACACTTACTACCTGTGTGAGTCTGGGCAAGTCACTTAACCCCAATTGCCTCACCAAAAGAGAGAGAGAGAGAGAGAGAGAGAGAGAGAGAGAGAGAGAGAGAGAGAGATGTTCTAAGATTTAAGTCAATCATGCTAATGTCATTGCTATACCGAGAAATTAGCGAGTTAGACCCAGACTAATTTAAATTGTGGACTTTTTATATTAGTGCATGGCTGCCAGGGGTATTCACATCCAAATCAAGCAGCCCCCATCAGGGGTCAAGCTAGGGTTTCTATAGGGAGTATACAGGACAGGAGGGGGATGGATCTTTGAAGTCTGGCAAGAGGAAGAGTTTTTGGGCTGGTCAAGGACACCCCTCTCCCTCTGTCCAGACATGATAATGCTCTGCAACAAAGGAAAAAACTTTCTCACAATGGAGGCTTCCAGAGATATGATCTGAGGGCTGGGGCCTGAGCAGCCAGATAAGGGTCATGCTAAGGAATTTGAAGGCTTCCAGAGATATGATCTGAGGGCTGGAGCCTGAGCAGCCAGATAAGGGTTGTGCTGAGGCCCATGCATGAATACTGCTAGGCACAGTGTCCTTGGGCTGGGGAGTGGTTGTCAGAGATAGTGTTTCTGAGACTAGGGAGGCATTTTGGGGGCAAAAGTATAAGCACAAGCATCCAAGCACCCCATCATTACAGGTCAGGGATCACACAAACCAGACCAGGTGTCCTGGTTTCTGGTATAAACATAATCATCTAAAGCTATTATATTGCAAGTTTTCTTATCCATTTGTGTTGGAGGTATGGGCTGTGCTTAAGCTATGCAAGAGTACATTTCACTATTGTTTAGATTTAGGAGGAAAGAGGTCTAGGGCAAGATTAAGCAGCAACTTCTGCTTTCCATGGCCTAAAGGGTCCTACTACCTAAATGGTAAAATAATGTTCTGCATTACATCATATGCAAAGACTTGATTGTTTAGTGTGGGCCAATCAACCACCAAGTGTTTATTATGTGCCTGCTATGAGGCAGGCACTGTGCTGGAAAAACAAAGACAAAAATGACACAGTCTCAACTCAATGAGCTTGTATTCTATCAGAAAAAATCATATATAAAGATAACTGACACCAAGAAAAAACAACATTAATAAATTCTTATCTTCTGATATCTCTGCCAAGGAGAATGACTTGTGCATATAAGGGTGGAACAAAAATGGCTAATAAAGAGTTGCTATCCTATACATATATATACTATATTATATATCATATAGATATTATACATATATATACATATATGGAGATAATAAAAGCATATCTAGCTGCCTTTCTTGAATTCAAGTTAGCTGGCCTAGATGAATTATATCTTCAGGTACCAAAAGAATTGGCATATCTCATTGCTAAACCACTGTTAGTGTTCTTTGACAGATAATAGAGAATGGGAAAGTTCCCACAGAAATGAAGAAGGGTAAATGCTATCCTTTTTCAAAAAAGATAAGAGAAAAGAGTCTACAAACTATAGGCCAATGAGTTTGACTTTAATTTCTGAAGAAATTCTAAAACAGATTATTAAAGAGAAAATTAGTGAATATCTAGAAAGGGAAGTAGTAATCAAAAAGAGCTGGTATGACCTCATCAAAAACAGGTCATGACACCTAACATTAATTCCCATTTTTTTCTTTTTTTTTTAATAAGCTCACTAGTTAGAAGGATGCTAAAGCTAGAGTTTATTTAAATTTCAGCAAAAATGTTTGGTAAAGTATATCATGGTGTTCTTGTGGAAAAGATAGAAGGATATGGGCTAAAAAAATAAGTGCAATTAAACAGATTCAGAGCTGAATGAGAAGACAGACTCAAAACTTAGTCTTTCATAATTTGACATTGACTTGGGAGAAAGTCTCCAGTAGAATACCCTAGAGATCTGTACTTCACCTTGGACTTTAATGTTGGGTATAAACGCATACATAGCATGCTTATCAAATTTCAAGATAATACAAGCAAAAGATAGTTAACACAGTATTTGATGGAATCAAGATCCAAAAGGTCCTTTATAGATTAGAACACTGGCACGAAATTTAACAGAGATAAATGTAAAGATTTATGCTTGGGTCCAAAAAAAATGTAAGATAAGAGGGATACGGCTAAACAGCTGCTTACCTGAAAAAGTTTGGCGGGGGGGGGGAGATTAGTGGATTTCACCTTCAATGTGAGTCAACAGGGTGATATGGAAGGCAAAAAAAGATCTCTCTTCTAAATCTTAAATTTTGGGGGCTAAGGACTCTTTTCCACCCTTAAAAATTATTGAGGACCCCAAAGATCTTTTGTTTATATGGGTTATATCTATCAATATTTATTGCTTTAGAAATTTAAAATAAGTTTTTAAAATCTTTAATTCATTTAAAATAACAAGAAACCAATCACATGTTGACACAAAAATATTTTTATTAAAAGTAATAATATTTCCCCAAAAAAAAGTAGTGAGAAGAGGAGCAACATTTTTCACATCTCCTCCTAAATGTCTGGCTTAATAGAAGACAGATGGATTATTTTGTTAGCTTCTTCATTCAATCATTCACAATATGTTATTTTGGTTGGCGTATATGATGAAAACTCAGCCTTACACAGATACAGAGTTGGAAAATGGAGAACTTGAATAGGTAAATAATTTCTTGGTATCATTATGAAAATAATTTTAACTTCAGCAACACCCTGAAGAGCCTCAGAACCTCTAGGAGTCTATGGACCACACTTTGAGAAGGGTTATTCAAGAGGAAGGGAACAAAAATGTTAAAGTGTCCAAAGTCCATGCCATATATGAATGAGGCAAAGGAACTAGAGATGTTTAATAAAAAATAGAAGAATGAAGGAACAAACAGTAGTTCTCCTAAAGTACTTAAAGTTTTGTCATGTGGAAGAATGATTAGACTTGTTCTGATTGACCCCAAGGGTAAGAACTAAAAGTAAGGAATTAAACTTGTAAAGAGGAAAATTTTAGATTCTATGTCAGGAAAAACTTCATCACAATTAGAGCACTGAAAAAGTGGAATGGGCTGCCTAGACAGTGGGTTTCCTTTCAATGGAAGTATTCAAGCAAAGACTGGATGAGTATTTATTGTAGTGAGAATTCTCTTTTGGTTATGGGGTTGTTGCCTTCTGAGGTCCTTCCAAACTTAGATATTCTGAGGTTTCATGAGCATCTCAAGGGCCTCACCATCCTTCTTCCATCTGAACTCAGTTGATATTGATATTGATATTGATGATCAAATAGTCTAGAACAAAGTAACCAACATTTGTCATATTTGCACTTTGTTGGATGAATGTGTCATTTTGTTTTACTAAATTGAATGCTTTCTTACAGTCAACAAACAATAAGCACAGTAGAGTCTTGTCTTCTCAGCATCTTTCAGTTAATTGTGTGATGTTAAAGATGTATTCCACTGTTTAAAAAAATGAGTCGTGAAAAATGAATATAGCAGATTATTCTCATGGATATTTTTTAAAAGTGGAAAAGTAGGTATATCAGTCACAAGCACTTATTACATGCCTATTATATATCAGGCTCTATGTTAAACACTAGAGTAAGCAATTATTGCTATTTTCTTTCATTATCTTGCTTTGTTAATGTTCCATATTCTTTCCTAAGCATTTGTTATCTTGTCAAGTCAACAAACATTCATTAAGCTAATGGTATGTTCTGGGCACTATGTTCAGCTCTGGAGATATTTTTTAAAGGTAAAAAAAAAGTTCCTGCTCACAGTCTAATGGGGAAAAGAATATGCAAACAGCTCTCTACAAACTGGATACATAACATGATAAATTGAAGATTATGAGCAAAGGTAAGGCACTGTAATTTAGGAAGATCAGGAAAGACTTCTTAAAGAAAGTGAGATTATTAGCTGCGACCTGAAGGAAGTCATGGAAACCAGCAGCCAGGGATGAGAAGGGAAAGCAGTCCAGGCTCTTTCTGATATCTTCAGTATCAATCCTTTAAAACCCTCAAAATTTTATCATATCCAGCATAATACTCCCCTCTATATATTTTGTCTGGTCCTTGTTCTTCCCATCATTGTTCATTTTAGTATAATGCTTACTTCCTCATGTAGCACAAACAGGAACTGTGGTACTGAAAGCTAAATAGAAGAGCCCCACTGTCATTGCTACAAGACAAAATTTATCATAGAAAGATATTTTCTGATTTTTTTTCTGTTGCCCTCCTTTCAATTTCATCTTTAAATGATATTGGGATTATCTGGCTTAATTAGGTTTCTTGTTTTTTATTCTATAACAGAATATTGTTTATAACCTTACACTATCCTTATCTACAACATTTTGCAAGTTAATTTGTACTCTAAACCAGATTTGCCTTTGATTTTCCTCTCTCTGTTTAGGTAATCTAGTATTTGTTGCCTGAGACCTTTTCTGGTTTCCTTTGGCATCCTCATTGTGGTGACTGATTTATATTAGTTATTCTTCCTAGGTAAATGATTGTATTCTGTGTCAATATTTATTCCTTTGTCGTCTTCCAGTTTTTTAGCATTTTATGCTTATTTAAATAGGTCTGAATGGAGCTGTTTTAACAGCATGTCATTTTATATATACATATATATGTATATATGTATAAATATATAATATCCTCTCATTATATTACTTTTGGTCTTTATTTTTATCTTTGCTCTAACAAATCAATGGGCTAACTGTATAGCTGGATACACTTTATAAAGAGACATTTCTTCCAAGTGGAAAAAGAAAGTTTCTAAACCACTTGGTCTCACCTTTCCTATATTTTATGAAAAATGATCACCATGAAAAACTACCTATTAAGTACCCACGTTGGCCTAGTATTGTGGAAGCTAGTCAAACATGAATATGCTAGTTCCATACAAGCATAACATAATAGAAACATTGAATCAAACTTTCTGTATCTAGTTAACATTGTTTAAAAACAATGAGGAACCCAGAAGTTCCTTATGGCCTTGTCATGGCTGTCTTTACAAGCCACAGTTTGTCTATGAGACAAAGCTTTGGGTCCTGGGCAGTTTTGCTGCATCCTGAAAGTCATGGTTCTGACCCACTAAGAAGCTACCATCTAAAACATGTAAACAAGATTCAAAAGAAAAGAAAAAACTCTTGCAACTACAATCCAAATAAGGTCCCTTTAAAATCATGGACAGCCCTATTCGGAAATGTTCATATATGGCCCTATGCAGAATGATACAAGTGATGTTCTCTACCTGCTCCCAAAATATCTATCACTGTTCCATCATCTTGCCATTCTACCTTCCTAGCTGGTTCAAAAATCCTATCATTAGGGTAACTATGTTTTAGTTACTCTAAACAACAAAGGCAAAGGTGCTATCAGCAGATGGTCAATGCTAGCATAAACAGACTTCAACAGACATTCACAAAAGTCCTAATTCAGTGTCTCATTGCACCATTCAAGATAAAAAGAGGTTCTTAAAAACTAAGTCAGCAGAGCAAAAACTTTTGCAGGTATTAACAAACGGGAACATTTTACACAGAGGTCCACTGAAGAATTATTTTGGCCACATCAGCTCATGAAGATTATCTGCTAAGGCATATGTAAGGGCAAGGATGCATTAGGTAAATCAATCAAATTACCCCACCCCATTTAAAATGTCTAGAAGCTAAGCCCTGATACATTTAGCAGATGAGGACACATGTTGATTATTCACTAGGCATTAATAAGACAAGTAGTCCAGTGGATAGAGTCTCGGGCCCGGAGTCAGAAAGACTCATCTTCCTGTGTTCAAATCTGGACTCAGATACTTAGTAGCTAAGTGACTCTGAGCAAGTCACTTAACCCTATTTGCCTCAGTTTCCTTGGCTGTAAAAATTTAGCTGGAGAAGGAAGTGGCAAACCACTCCACTATCTTGCCAAGAAAACCCCAAATGGGGTCAAATGACTGAAGAACAATGAACAAGACCTTGACATCTCCTTGAATTAATCAAAGATATTTTAATTAAGTGCAACAGGAAATCTGTTCTGACTAGGTGAAGGATTCGGTCACATCCTGAACAATTGCATAAAAGGAGGAGGTAGTTCAAAACTGAGGAGAGATTTTTCAGGTATGGGACTAGATAAGGAGTTGAGACATCAGGAGCTAAGATAGTAAGAATTAGCAGTACAAAAGCAACCAGAAAAGGAAAAAGAGAAATTAGGACTCAGCTGTAATGGGAAAAGGAGTGACTGAGGACAGCCTTTGGCCCTATAGGCATCTTACATCAGAAAACTCAGTTTGAAATCATCATTAGTACCCACCTTCTCAAGGACTAAAAGAAGTTCTAAGGAAAACAAAGATCTATTCTTTCCCCAAATTTCCTTCCCCATGCCTATCAACCCTGATACTTTTTTACCCAAACTTTTCTGGTAAACTGAATTTTGCCTCCAAAATAAAGAAGCCAGGGGTTAACTAGATATAAAGGAAAGTAGAAAGCCAAATATTAGGGATTTTTCTAACTCAGGGCTGGGAGAAATTGTGATGGTATTCCTAACTTTTCATTTAATATAAATTCCCTAAATGCAGCAGAGGAAGGAACCACAGGGAAGTGAGGGGCTATTATACTGCCTGCGGATTTAAAATAAGCTAGCTAAACCATATGGCTCCGGAGGAGAAAGGGAAGCCAGTGACTCTGCACAGCCCTCCCTCAGTTAAATCCAATATACTTGCCTGTCATGACATCTCTCCCTGATGTCATGGTCCTCTTCAAGAACAAAGGACAAACAACAACAATAAGCTAGCTAAAGTAACAGTATTACACATGGGAAGTTTGGGATAAATGGCATATAGAGGGAGTACGTAGAATGATGCAATCAAGGTTCCTTAAAACATGTTACCTGGAAATCAATCAATTTACAAGCCCTTACTAAACACCTGTTTATTACATGCCAGGCTCTAAGTTAGGTGCTTGGAATAAAAATACAATAAGTAAAACACAAAATTTCTCCCATTATATTAATGTATAACAAGTTGGAAAATTACAACCCAAAAATAGGTACATCAAAGACCAGCTTTTCTGACTTTAAAATTTTGCTGAAGGTCAACCATAGCTGTGCTGCTCTCTAGAGTTTGAATCAAAATATTCCTCTTAAAAATGGATGGCTTAGAATTTAAAACACAATTTAACTTAGAAGCAGATTTTCAATCTATTCCCACTACTGCCATCCAGTGCCTATTAATGGTTATGTCTTTCATTTCTATTTTGCTTCTAGAAAAGAGGAAATTCTCACAGAGAAGGCAATAGAAAGTAAAAAGTCTGAAGAAATCCCTGTGCTTCCTACAGGTAAAGTTAGATTTCATTCTTAAAACATTACATTTATAATATTTTATACATTACAACCAAATCATCACAAAATGTGGCATTTTCGAAACAACCCTTTGTAGAAATCCACAAATAAGAAAAATCACTTTTTAGAAGCTTACAAGCCAGAAATTGAATATTTATGTTTGTATATGTTAAAATGTTGACAAGATCATGTTTCAGGTTCTACATTTGAACAGAGATCCATAAAAAACTGTACCTTAGAATTTTTACATTTTTTAAGTCTTTAAAGCATGAACCGTTAGCTCATCTTTTCAACCAGCTTATCAGTAACTAATATAAGTACTATACTGGCTCAATGTCCAATTATGAAGATCTTGCTTTGTGGAATACATTCCTTAAGATTTTCCCCCAGTAGTCTTAGAAGGAAATAGCTACCTAATTATTAACAGTATTAACAGTCCAAAGAACATTGACCTCTAATATCACATTTCCTTCAGAGGAATAGTATTAGAAGAGAAAAAAGCTATATGCAGATGCTCTATGATGAATTTGTTTTTTTAATTTTGTTAAAATTAAAAGTAATCATTGGAATGTAATTGAGATTCCTACCTAGAAAAGTTAAAGTCAGTACATTTGAATTTTAGTAGCATTTTTGTCACAATTTTTTTAAAAATAAACTCTTTCCTACTTAGTTTAAGTTCATTTGTAAGAATTCAATCATTTATAAGAAGTCTGAGGGGCAAATATCTTCCAAATATCTCCCCAAAGTACATATTCATTACATGTGTTTATATGTATACATGTATCTGTATCTATATATATATATATATATGGCCTAAGAGGTCTAACCTCATAGTCAATAAGACCTGAGTTCCAGACTTGCCCCTAACATAATACCACCACTGTGGTATGAACCAGTCAATTAACTCTTCAAGACCTCCAGGCAGCTCTCTAAAACTGTAAGTTACAGAGAAGTTTCTGATAGGCATCACTGGAGGGAGTTAACACAAGGTATGTCTATATGCATATTTGCACATCTGTGTATATTGATATGGATATTTTGAGTTGACCATTTACCAGACTTTCAGACTATTTCTCTAGTGGTCCTGGACTAACAAGAATGAAGTTCAACCTCTGTTGTAGGACTCACCCTTGAGGGGCAGCTAGGTGGCACAGTGGATATGGCACCGGCCCTGAAATCAGGAGGACCTGAGTTCAAATCGGGCCTCAGACCAAACACTTGACACTTATTAGCTGTGTGACCCTGGGCAAGTAACTTAACCCCAATTGCCTAAAAATAAAAAAATGAAATAAAAATAAAAGACTCACCCTTGGTTGTCCATAAATACCAGGGATGGGGAGGATTCTGAAAAACTGATGTATGGAGATCAAATGTTGAGAACTATCACTAAACATGAATACATCTTGTGTACATATGTATATGCATGTTTACATGTGCACATGTGCTTATAAAAATTTGGTGAAAGGGATCAGATTTTGTGATTTCACTGGTTTAGGGAATTAGGGTACAGGAACTCCTTCCCCTGATGGAGATCATCAACTCTTCCATATGTTATGTAACATATAGTCTTAGAGAGCTACCTAAGCATAAGAAAGAGTAAGAAGCCTCTGATTTCACAGGCACCAAAATTCATTTTTTATATTAACGCTTTGCCCCTTTTTCAAATGAAAATAGAAAAATAGGATAGAAGGTAAAGGTTTGTATACAGTATGTATATGTATGAGTATGGGTATAGGTATGGATATATGTATGTGTATGTGTATATGTATAGAGACAAGTATAGATGTAGTATGAGTATGGGTATATGTATATGTATGTGTGTGTATAGATGTAAATGAATACATGGCCTAGGAGGTCTAACCTTAGAGTCAGAAAGACCTGAGTTCCAGTCTGGCCTCTGACATACTAACTCTTTCTGTGGTCATAGGCAAGTCAATTAACCACTCAATCATTTACACCCTAATGTGAATGAGTTTATCATATCCTTTTCTAAAACAAGTTTGGATAGTGCTGATGGGGCCACAGAGAAACAAGGCATCTGATATAGGAATGAAGGGGGAACAGAGCCTTGTTAACAAAAGAAGAAAAAGAAGGAGGAAGAGAAGAAGGAAACTGGATATACCAGAAAGAAAAAAAAAACATTTACTTTAGCTGTCTAGAGTTAGTGGTTGTATTGTTGTAAACTTAGGTCAGTTCTCGCTCACTCAGGCTTCTATAGTTCCACATATGGTATAGTTCGATGATTACTAGTCTGCAGAATAAGGTTTCCTCAGGGGCTACAAGATCCTCAATCAAGGACAGATTCAGTAATATTCTGTATATTCTGCTTACTACACGTAGACATTTTCAACAATAAGATTTGAAAGCCAAATGGTTTTCTGGTTAACTAAATTTTAACTAGAAAATTCAATTAACTGAAATACTCCACTCTTAAGGCTTTTCAGATTCACAAGGTTTTATTGTATAATTTCACACAATAAAACAGAACACATTTGTTTTCCTAAATGTGATGATTTTCCTTGGCTGCAATACAGTCCAGAATCTTCTCTTTGGAAGGCCTTAAAAACAAGAAAGATTGCCCTGCATCTGGGATGGTTTTAAATAGATGCAGGCTCTAGGGTGGAGCTCATTAGTTGGGCCCAAGGCTCCTGCCAGCTCCCTAAATGATAGAGAATCCAAAAACACTTCTCATATCAAATTCAAAAGCCATGGATAGCATCCAAAGAAATGTTTCTGAACAGCCAATTTCATATTGTTTTAAATATGTGCTTCCACTCAATATTCACAAGAAGAGAAATTAATTTGCTCTCATTAAATAAAGTTATTTTACAATGTATATCCCAAGGACTATTAAACTCGGGCTCTGGGGAGAAGGAAAGGAGAATTTCAATGAGAGAAAACTTAGAGCCACATTTTAACTCAACAATATGCTGATTTTTTTTTTAATGGATTGAAAATGCACTTACCATCAGTGGGTATTGGAGTGACAGGGAGACTCCATGAACTTTTGCCCTTGTTCTAATTTAAGCTCTCTACTGGGGTATTCATGTGTGTGATTTTTTTGAAGTCTCAGCAGGTGCTGCTAGCTTCTCTCCACTTCCCTTCACATCCACTCCTAATGGCTCACTTCTCAACAAACTTTTCAATGACACAAAGACTCCTGTGAAGGTGAGGATGTCCTGATATCTTATCTAACTGTTCATTTGCCTGCTTTCTGTGCTTTGGAGAAAAAAAAAATGGATTGTCAATTCAAAAATATTAGTGCTGCCTATTTGTTCCTTCAATTAAAATGGGAAGATTTTGTTTCATTTGCTAATTATAAATTATGTATTTTGCTCATGACTGACAGAAAATTGGATTCACTGTACTTGTTTTAAGAAGGAAAGAACCATAGAAAATGGTTAAGAAGCAACTTCACTATCATATCACCCTATGATTCAATTTTGGGCTGATAAATCCCACCCCAATCTTATCACAGTGCCTTAAACATAGCCAATACACCTGAGATCTAAGAGATGCCTTCTTTTAGCTTCTGGAGGCCTCTCAGCACTCTTAGATAGGGCTACATGTCATCATAGTGTTGAATGGGTTGAAATCCCCATCGTTTTCTACCCTCCTTTTTTATTTTTGTGTCTGTATATCCAGAGCCTAACCTACATATATAAAGACCTGGCTTCTTGTTTTATTTTTGTATTTGCAGGGCCTGGCACATAGTAGACACAATAAATAGTGTTGATTGATTTATTCCACTGGAAAAATTAAAGTACTGCTTCCATGTTTGACCGTCATATACCAACTTTTCAGGTTTTTTAAAAAAAGATTTTCTAGATCTTCCCATATTGAGGCATAAATTCAATGAAATCATGGTTACTGCTTCAGCTAATACCTTTACAGAATCCTCAAGTATATATTTTGGGTTTTCAGGGAAACACAATGTTGATCTCAAAGTCATGTATGTGTCAAAAGGCTGCAAACCAATCTCCAATGCCACATACTTAAAACCCAACTTCTATCTTGCTCTATGACCTAGGAAGCTAATTGGAGAACAGAGCAATGACAGAACCATGCCAATTTCATATCCAAAGGGCAGCGAGAAAGGCAGGTAATGGGTCTCTGAGCAAGCAAAAGGCAGACCTACTTGCTCAGAGCTGTGCTGCTATTTTTAGATACTCCAGCCCAAGCTTCTAGTTGTGACCCAAATATGCCATTCTCCCTGAGAGTGCCTTTAAGCCAACTTTTGACTTGAAGGTGCTTTCAGGACAATTTTGATATTATGTTCATGCATGAACAGCATCATTATATCGGCCCAGGCTTCCCTCTGGTGTTAGTTGGGTGGTCATAATAGCTCATATTCATTTGCACATTTGTCCAATGTAATCATCATTTCAGCATTATCAAACAGTATTGATAAAGTCCAGTATACACATGACCATACTGGATTCTACAAAGAAAATAGATCTATTTTCCACTAGCTTTCAATCACAGACAAATTACACTGCTCTCTAAAGATTCTAGGTTAACTAAAATAAGAAATTTTATTCCAAATTTACCCCCCACAAAGTCTATTTCTCATTCCATAGAACTCCATCTCTAAGTCCACTGAAGGTTCTCGAATCAATTTTTTTCTGACCACTTCAATATTTAGAAACATCTCAAAGAATTTGCTTTTGGTTTATGCTAAACAAAATCTATCTCTTCTTTTTCCTTAGGATATAGAAACTGAAATCACTAATATCATATCAGAGGGACCATTGGAAGAGATGTTAGAATTTAGTGTCAACCTAGCAGATCAGAAATTTAAGGCAGAACTGAATGATCCAAGATCCCCATACTACCAGGAACTAGCAGGAAAATTTCAACATCAGGTAAGTAAGTATACCTTTTGCTGGATATATACTTATTTTGAATAATCACAGACTTAATCTCTTTCAGCTGATAATATAATCTAACATTTAGAGGAATTGGTTTTTACTATAGATCAAATATAAAACATTCCAAAAAGTTGGCAAGATATGGGGAAAATTCAGTGTTCTGTTATTATAAGAAATTAAGTATATTTTATTTGAAAAATACTCTAAGTAAATGGAGGAAGTATTGGGGGGAGTGTCCACAAATAACTATATTTACCCCTGTTTCAATGGTCTCAGGCTTTGTATTATGAAATCAAGTCAACTCAACATGCAAAATTTATTTTTGTTCAAACATTTTTTAGTGATGTCTGACTTTTCATGACCCCATTTGGGGTTTTCTTGGCAAAGACACTGGAGTGATTTGCCATTTTCTTCTTTAGCTCATTGTTAGAAAACAGGGTTAAGTGACTTGGCCAAGGCCACCCAGCTAGTAAATGCCTGAGGCTAGATTTGAAGATGATTCTTCCTCATTCCAGGCCCAGTATTCTATATACTGTATAACCTAAGTGTCCCTTGATATTTATTAAAAATGTATTAAGTACTTAGTATAAGCCAGGCATTTAACTAAGCACTAGGGATACAAACAAAGGCAAAAAGGAGTCCCTTCCCTCATGGAGCTCTACTGGTAGACAGAACATGCAAACAACCATGTACAGACATGATATATAAATATAGATATATATACATATTTATATATAGAATAAATTGGAGATAATTTCAGAGGGAAAGCACTTTAAGATTGAGAGGGACCAGGAAAGATTTCTTGCAGAAGGTGGAACTTTAGCTGAGATTTGAAGCAAGCCTGGGATCCAGGAAGCAGGGATGAGGAAGGACAGCATTTCAGGCTTGGGGACAGCCAGTGAAAGTGCAGAGTTGGGAGATTTGGTGTTGGGTGCCAGGAATTGCAAAAAGTCCAATGTCTCTGGATAATAGAATAAGAAAAGGAGAGAGCGAAGGCTGGAAAGGTAGAAAGGCATCAGGTTGTATGTTTGCCTTCCTTCCAAAAAACATTTCCAAGTAGGTATATTAAATTCAACCTGATTTCCTTGCTTAAGAATAAAGTGAGGGGGCTTAAAGAGTACTTTTCTTATTCTAGGAATAAAATGATGCCTAGAAAGGAAGGAAAAACTATTGATTAGAGAAATGCAAATTAAAACAACTCCGAGGTATCACCTCACACCTTTCAGAGTAGCTTATATGACAGGAAAGGAAAATGATAAATGTTAGAGAGAATGCTGGAAAACTGGAGCACTAATATACTATTGGTGGAGTTGTGAACTAATCCAAGCATTCTGGAGGACAATTTGGAACTATGTCTAAAGGACAATCAAACCGCACATATCCTTTGATCTACTAGTTCTATATACCAAAGAGATCATAAAAAAGAGAAAAGGACCAACATGCACAAAAATATTTATAGCAGTTCTTTTTGTGGTGACAAAGAATTGGAAATTGAGGTGATGCCTATTACTTGGGAAATGGCTGAATAAGTTGTGATATATGAATGCAATGGAATACTATTGTGCTTTAAGAATTGATGAGCAGGAGGATTTCAGAAAAACCTAGAAAGACTACATGAACTGATACAAAGTGAAATGAGCAGGACCAGGAGAATATCATATACTGTAAGAGCAATGTTGTGTTATGATCAGCTATGAATGACTTAGTTCTTCTCAGCAATACAAAATGATCCAAGACAATTCCAAAGGACTCATGATGGAAAATGTTATCCACATCCAGAGAAAGAATTGATGGAGTCTGAATGCAGATTGAAGTATGCTGTTTTCACTTTTTTTTTTCATGGTTTTTTCTTTTTGGTCAGTTTCTTCTTTAAACAACATGACCAATATGGAAATATATTTTTAATGATTGTGCATGTACAACCAATATCAAATTGTTTGCCATTTTAGGGAGGAGGTAGAAGAAGGAGGGAGGGAGAAAAATTTGTAACTCCAAATTTTCTTTTCAATGAACATTAAAAATTGTCTTTACATGTAATTGGGGAAAATAAAATGATATTTAAAAAAAGAAAGGAGGTAGGAAATAATCCACTAAAAAATGAGAAAATAACAGAGCACTGGCCATGAAGTCAGGAGGACCTGAGTCCAAATCTGACTTCAAACCAAACACTTGACACTTACTAGCTGTGTGACCCTGGGTAAGTCACTTAACCCCAATTGCCTAAAAAAAAAATGAGGAAATATACTTGCTCTCCAAAAATAGAGAAATAGGTGCTTGATCGTAATTACAGTTAGGTGAATTTGTATCTGATTGAACAAACATTCCCAAAGTATTGGCACAAAGGAAGTCCTAGTATGTCAGTTGTCTTTTGTGTTCTGTCTAGCAGTACCTTCCAATCTGTCCATTCAGCTTAATGTATCTTATGATCTTATTTATGGCCATGCTTTCTGTGTGGTAATGGAAGACAAGCATATTTCTCTCTGTTTTACTTATTACTAATGGAAGTAATAGAGGCAATGTGCCATACTAATTTTGGAGTCTGAAAGACCCAAGACCTAATATATATTTGTTGTATAACCATGGGCATTATTTACCCTCTCAGTATTCAAACAACTTTCTAGGACCATGCATTTGAAGCAAATTGTTAATCTGCAATAATGGAGAGAATTTCCACACTGGGAGTTCCTTACACTGTATCACAAGTCTGAATCACCCACTTCATCCACTCTCCAAAAATGCTAGCTAGGTGGTACATGGGAGAGAATAATGGACTTGGAGTCAAAAAGATCTGAGTTTTAATTCTACCATACACTTAGTAGCTGTGTGACCCTGGGCAAGTCACTTACCATCTCGGAGCCTCAGTATCCTCATCTGTAATATGAGGTATTTGATCTCAATGGCTTCAAAGTGCTCTAAATCTATAATATTATGATTTCACATACTAAAGATTCTCAGAGACTCAAAAGATATTCCATAATTTTTTGAAGCAGTGAGACCCCTAACCATCAACTAATATTTTTAAGTGCTTACAGTGAATAGTTGCTTTAATATGGGCGACCAGTATTCAGTGGTAAGAGAATACTTGTTCCATGCTTTTCCTTCTTAAAGCATCAAAAGCTAGTGTCCATTCAACTAGAACATAAATGTGATGAAGAATCTTTTTTCTTTTAAATTATTCACTTCCTTCTAACTTCAGAGAAAAATTTCAACAAACAATTCAAAATGCATTTGTTAGGTCTCTGATTAATGCCAGCACTGGACTAGAATCTGGGGACGCAATGACAAAAATATAACAGTCCCTGACCACAATGAATTTACATTCTGCTGGTACCACACCTACACAGTTTCATAGGTTTAAAGTTGTAAAAGACCTTAAAGATTATCCAGTCCAACTACTTCATTTTACAGTTGAGGAAACTGAGGCCTAGAAAGGTTAAATGACTTTCCCAAAGCCACACAGGTAGTAAGTGGCAGCACTGGAATTTGAATCTAAGACTTCTACTATGCTACAATGAAGAAAATGAGACAGACAATTATTAAGGTGGACCTGTTGGTGACATGTAAGTTGAGCCTTGAAAGAATATAAAGATACTGAAAGGCAGGAATGAGGAGGGGTATATTCTAGGCATGCAGAAGGGCTACAAAACAGCATGGAGGTAAGTGATAGAGTACTGAGTTTGGAAAAGAGTGAATACCTCTCCTTGTTTAGAATGTAGAGTATGAAAAAGGGAATTATATAAAATATGGGTGGAAAAGTGAAGGGAGCCAGACTATAGAGAGCCCTTAGTGCCTGCCTAAGTGTTACAGGCAAGGGAAAGTCACTGATAATCCTTTAATAAAGGAGTAACATAGTCAGATCTGTATCTTGAGAAGATGGTTTTGATGACTTTATAGAAGACAGATTAGAAAAGGAAGAGACTAGAAGCAGTGACACAAATCAGGAAGCACCTACAGATGTCTATATGAGAGGTTTAAGAGCCAAGACATGATTGGGTGGGTGGAAAGAAGGAGATGGCCGTGATAAAAGGTTTCGTATCTGATTGGATATCAAGGGTGAGGAAGAGGGGAAAGTCAAGAAAGACTCCACGGTTACCAACTTGAGTAACTAGAAGAATGGTCATGCCCTCAGTAGAAACAGGGAAATTTGGAGAGTTTATGGATAAAATAATGAGTTCTACTTTAAATATTTTGAATTACAAAATGCAAGACAATTCAAGAGAAGATATTCAACAGATAGTTGATGATGTATGGCTAGAAAGTTCAGGAGAGAAATTTGAGCTGGATATTCAGATTTGGAAGTCAACTGCATAGATATGATATTTGAATTCAAGTTGACTGGTGAGATAGCCAAGAAAATGCATGCAGGAAGAGAAGAGGACCCCAGAGACTCCTAGGGAACACTCATGCTAAAAAGACAGGTGTTTACACAGAACTTCTAATTCCCTAGAAAGGAATGTGTCTAATATATGTGCATGATAAGACAAAGTGAGGATAACAAATTGGTGAGACAGGGTTAGAGTTTAGTAAGAGAAAGGAAAGGAAGTTTATTGTGACTTTCAAGGTACCCAGGAAGTGAGGAGAGATAAGGTACAGAATGCCATGGCATTTGTCCAGGGGAGTTAATAACAATAACTAGAGAGACTGAGATATTTACTTCCAGCAAATAGAGCAAGGAGGATTTTAAAGTGACTTGCATAGACTGCACAATGTTGATATATCTGCTACTGACAAATAGCTTCTATCTATATTCAAGATGCAGGCAGGTCTGTCTCCTAGAAGAAAACAGAGAATCACAGATTTAAAGTTGAAAGAGACCTTGAACTAAATCTAATCTAACCCCTTTGTTTTATAAATGAACTGATGTCTATAGAAGTTAAGAAACTTGCCCAAGTCTCCCAGGTAGTAAGGAGCACATATGGGATTTGAACACAGGTTCCAAATCCTTTCTCTTTCCATAATGCACCATGACATCAGAGTTAGGGAGGTTGAGAGAT